TATGTTTTGCTGTCCCTAATTTTGAACTACTGACTAGAGGGAAGGTGTCCAGTCAGTAGCACCCTAACACCTACTATTCGCGCTAAGGAACTGAATGTCATTCTTATAACACATAGCTTAAAGTGAATGGGATGCTATTTGTCTGTATTGAGATCTAGATCCTTAACAGGATATGGGAGGGTCAGGTTCTCTAAGACCTCTTCCTCCTACCTTTGCTGTTGTTGTGATCTTGATGATTTTGTCTGCTAAATCTAGACGTTATATGTGAGGGTTGTGTATCGTTTACAGTCTTAGGGATACGCTAATCCCTCTCAATCCCATGCCCATTCATGTACCATTTATATCATTTCGTATCGTAAATATTTATCTTAGTGTGGTGTTCATGGTACCAAGTCCGTAGCCAGGTCTGAAAGTGGGGGTTCTTTTTTCGTCCACAGTGGAATTCGTTTCATGCGTAACTTTAGTGCCCAGGTACGTAAAATATTTTTCCGAAATATATAATAGTTCCTTTATTATCACTGCAAATAAATATTTCTTATAAATTTCTTTTTATAAGTATGAAAATTTTATTTCCGCATATATGCACAGTGTTACAAAAGCAATTATATAATGAGAGGCCATCATCAAAGAAAGGAAAAACAATAAATGTTAATAGGCGAGCAGAAGTATGGCGGAAGTGTGTGTGTAGGGGCTACGGGCTTGTATTGTTACACATTACAAATAGTTCCATATATTGCGACACACTCACTTGTTTGTTTATTACGAAAGTATTATACATAAAATACCCTTTTTAATACTTCTATAACAAACTATTTAAATGATATATAAATTAAAGTCTAGTAGTAGATGCCCTATTGCTACGTTTAAAGTAGCTATTGTTACGCCTCCAGTCGTTAGTTAATTTTCCGTAAATTCGTTCCGACGAAACTTTAGCGACGCAAGTCCTTTCTTAATAAAACTGGTTTATTCTTTCCGAATACAACTTTACGATACACTTAATTTCAACAGTCGCGCTATAACAAACGCTATATCTCACGCGGCCAACAATATTTTGTCCGCATACATTCAATTACTCATTCCACTGTTTTCCGTCACGTTGTGACCATCTTATATATACCAGTATACCCCCAATCTAGTAAATGCTAGGGCATTCACGAAGGAACAGGATATTTCTAGAAACGTGGCGTGACACTAGTCACGTGACCTCGCTGACGCAACAATATCAATGGCGGAGAGAAACCTAGGCATGTTTTCGTCATATATGATATAACAATATAGAGAACGGAGTAATTTGTTCTTGTTATTTTTCTGGAAATTTATGTTTGAACTGTCTAAGGACCTGTCGTATAGTGGCTGTAAATTTGCGTATTTGTGTAAAAAGGCAGAACTTGTCGTTCTTGGAACCTTATATGCTGCTGTAATTTTAGTACTGAAATTTGTATTTTTTGTAGTCTCTTTTTGATCAGTGTAGGTGAGATATTTATCCACGCTGGACTGGCATATTCGACTACAGGTCGTATGTACTGTTTGTAGATTTTTATGACGTTCTGTGTTGTTGTTCCTGAATTATTTCCTGACAGAATCCTCACGTACTTCGCTTGTCCCCAAATTTTAGTTTGGATTTGGTTAACATAAATCGGGCCCGGCATGGCCAGGTGGTTAGGACGCTCGACTCGCAATCTGCGTGTCGCGGGTTCGCATCCCCATCCCACCAAACATGTTCGCCCTTTCAGCCGTGGGGGCGTTATAATGGGACGGTCAATCCCACTATTCGTTGGTAAAAGAGTAGCCCAAGAGTTGGCGGTGGGTGGTGATGACTAGCTGCCTTCCCTCTAGTCTTACACTGCTAATTTAGGGACGGCTAGCGCAGATAGCCCTCGTGTAGCTTTGCGCGAAATTCAAAACAAACAAACAAACAATTAACATAAATCTTCTATATTTTTATAGTTAAACAAAGATTCTCCTACTAGTGCCTCCTAGTGGCACAGAGGTATGTCTGCGGACCTATACCGCTAGAAACCGGTTTTGATAACCGTGGTGGGCAGAGAACAGATAGCCCTTGGTGTCGCTTTGTGCTTAATAACAATAACTCTTACTACTACCTTAAAATTAATAATATTTCTTATATTTTCATTATTGAAGCTTGTTCGTTGATTGGTTGTTCTTAAGAACTAAACTACACAATGAACCACCATGATTATTGAAAGAAGATTTTTAGCACTGTAAACATGCAGACCTGCCGCTGAGCTACTAGAGGTGGTCATTAAAAGTAAAGCGTCAGATATTTTTTATAGTTAAACAAAGATTCTCTTACTAGTGGCACAGCGGTATGTCTGAGGACTTATACCGCTAGAAACCGGGTTTCGATACCCGTGGTAGGCAGAGCACAGATAGCTCAATGTGTAGCTTTGTGCTTAATTCCAAACAAACAATCATAAATTATTTTATTTGTATCATTATATAATATTTTATTTTTATACATTTCTGACATTGAATAATTAATTTTAGTGTAGTTGGATAACTCTTTCTCCTACCTGCAGGTTGGAATCCCGTTACTGTACATGTTTGCTCTTTCATCCGTGGGTCATTACAATGTGATGGCCAATCCCACTATTCGTTTATAAAGAGTTGGCAGTGGGTGGTGTTGACCAACTGCCTTTTCTCTAGTCTTCCACTTCTAACTTAAGCATCTCTAGTGCAGATAACCACCGAGTAGCTTTGTGCGAAATTCAACAAAACAAACAACTAAAGTTGTTCTCTAATTTGTCTTACATATATATGATATAGATTTGTGGGATAAATATAACAGGCTTGACACTAAAACCAGGAAAATGCGCATTTATGTACATGTAAGGTGAATTTCTTTGTTATGTCGTAGGTAGATACAGAATCTTCACAGATTCTGTTGAAATAGCAGCAGTGCGAGATTGACCTCAATATGTAACAAAGCAATAAGTCCGCAGTTTCTTGGGTATTACTTTTACCAATGATGGTTTGTGGGCTTTCATGAAAGTGGACACACACTTTATATGGAGTGTAGAATGTGAGTAAGCATCCCATGCTTTACAAGTAGCCCAATCGTTGACGTATACATGACAGGACTGCGAGTTCTTGTTAGGTATTGACACCAGTGATAGTGGAATTGAAGCAATGTTATAGCAGTTGCAGAATGGAGTGGAACATGTAATCGCAAATACAAGTCACAAGTTCTTGGCTCCCGAATACAGATAATGTATGACAAAGAAGCAGTATTAGTCTTCATGAAACAATATTTGTTACTATTTGTATGGCAGTGTAATATTTAAAGTTATAAATTGATTTCCTGGCTAGTACTAGATAATTAGTTCCGCTAATAACAGTAGATTCGCTCAGGAAATAAGGAGAATATCTGAATCTGTGTGTGAAATAATGAGACTGAATAAGTATGACAAAATGAACACAATTTTCATCATGAAACAAACAAAAAGGAAACACAGTGTACACACTTGCACACATGAAAGGACAGTCACATTTACTCTAGTGTAATTAGCTCCACAGCTTTCTCTCCCTCAAAATACTTCTGTTGAACTAAACGTCCTGATCTTAAAGTATATCTTTACTCGAAGAGCTACAGGTAGAACTCTGAACTAAGAAGGAGTGCTTCAATTCAACATTTTCACTTGGTTTCTTTGTCCAGTCGACAGCGTCATCTCGTGATCTTTGTTCTCTGATAGTATTGGTCAGCTATAATATTAAAACAATGTTGATTCAACCAGCAAAAGATATTACAGATGTTATATGCTACTGTGATATCCTATTAGGCAGAATAAACATTATCTATTATAAAGAAAAAGAAACAAAGCAACCAGAACTAGACAATTTCAATTACTGTATACTGTAAAGCTGTATACAATCTGAAAACATTTAAACACTGTCTATATCATTAAAGCAGGTAGGAAACATATCATACTTGTATATCACGTTGTCTAAAACTGATAAAAATAATGCAGCCAATTCCATTTATCTGTAAAAAAATTACTTACAGGTTATATTTTGAGAGATCTAACTCATAAATAAAACTTAACAGCTACTTACTTGTTAAACTTATTCGTGTATCTATGATGCGAACTCTAAAGTAGCCAGCTAATTAACTTACAGATTAAATGACTAGCTCACTAATTAGTTGTCTGACTAACTAATACATTCACTAAGTCGATAATCAATGTTAACAGATTAACTAACTAACTCATTGTTTGAAAAACTGTCCAACAATTCTCTAGTGTTTGATATTGCTACATTATTTTTCCCAATGTTTTAGAAAATTCGAGATGTCACGTGCTTCCGTCAAACACCTTCGTTCCTTTGTTATTCTTAAACTTGAAGTAGGTAATATATATTAAGAACCGGTCAGTAGATTTCTTAATACGTACGATGTTGTGTAGAATGTCAACAACAGTGTCCTTCAGTTGTTGTTCAAGTGATATTTA